ATTACGCCAACATTGAACGTAGGCACAACAGTTTATTCAACTGTTGTTACAACTGGTATCTAAGTGAACCAGGAGTGAGTTTACCCGACTTCGTGTCAAGGGAATACCTGGACGGTGCCCTAAAGGCTGTTCAAGACAATATGGTTGCTCAAATGGCAAGTCTCAAAAGACTTTTGAAGGGGAAGGACGTTGTAGAAGAAGAGCCACCATCTGTGCCATCACCACCGCATGTTCCTGAACCGTCTATACCAGATCAATCGGTGGATGAGTTGAAATCATTGCTATATACAAAATTGATGGCATCTCAAAATCCAGATGCTGAGGATGCAGATTTGGTTGGCCTCTTACGTCAACAATCAGACGTAAACCCTTTTGTTAGAGCCTCAGAGTTTTTGGCTTTTCAAGATGTGGTTACTTTTAGCTTTTCTAAAGTTAGCAAGTTAATCACATCCAATACCCAAGATCTAAAGAGTTCAATGGATGCCCTAGCTGAACGGGTATCTACCTTAGAAGAAACTTGCAGGTCTCAGGCCATATCTCTCAAACGAAGGCATGACGATCAGAATGATGCAAATAGTCATGAGGGGGAGAGAAAGAGACAAAGATTGGCCAAGACATCTGAGCAAGGTGCAAGGGTCGGTGACGAGCCATCAACTCAAGACGTTATTGCTGAAACCTCTGCCCCATAATCTGTTCGGAAAAGAGTAATTGAGGCTATTGCAGTTGAAGATGAAGATATGGAGACAAGTCCTACGATCGAGCCAATGGTAGAAAAGCCGACGGACTCCACGGTAGGAATAAGGATGCTATTGGACTTGTCTGCCAATGTAGGATTCAACGAGGTGTTCTCTACTACTCTGGGTGGAGAGCAAGATTTTGGAGATGACATTGACAACATCGACGAGTCGACTGGGATCTATTTTGACTTTGAAGCTGATATTGATGATAAAGATCCAGTCTTTCCTGTCCAAGAAGAACGTCAATCTGTTCCAGAATCTTCCATTGCAGTTTTACCTGCTCAAAGAGAACAAGTTGATCCAATTGAAATCTTCACCAAAGACTATGTACCATTCCATATTAGAGCAAATTTTTCTGGATATGATCGTGCAAGGATCCGAGAGCCATACCTAGAAGATGTCTACTTTGGAATCTTCATCCGTCATAGAAAAGTTCTGAGCGGCGACAAAGTTCTGGGTATTCATAAGCAGTCAAAAGAATATCGTATTGAATACCGACATCTTTTGAAAGCCAAGTGCCTACCGATTAGTGAAGTGCGTACAAAGCATCGGATCGTAACGATTAAACAAATTGATGCTCAGAAGTTGTTAAGAATCTGGTATCCTGTTTTCATAGTAACAAGGCAGGATGGTCAGATTTGGAGGTTCAGCGAAGCAGACTTTTCGAACTTATACTTGGATGACCTTGAATATATGTTTATTGAACTCAGGAACATGACGCTTTTGCCGCATTTCGCTCAAAGGGTTGAAGGGAGATAGTGCATCAAGCTGTTCGCAAGGGCCAACTTGATCCTCTTCCCCAGGGATCCCCGATAAGGGAACCCTAGGAGAGTCGCCGACTCCGGGAAAAAACGATTAATCTCTATCAATAAACCTGCCAAAGAAGCGAACCATAGAGTACTTAGTACCGGTGCCACRGAAAGATATGTTTTTAGATCTCGCATTGAAAAATCTCCTTCATTTTATTGTAATACATAAGATAATACATATTGAAATGTACAATCATCCAATAAATAAGATTTTTAGAAAGGAAGGAGAATTGATTGCTCTTGAGGCTATCAAAAGATTTATGCGCTGTCATGTAAAACTGGCACTGGTCATTGATGTGCAAATGGGCCTTGAAGACAACCAATGAATCATCAATCTTAAAAGACCAAACCAAGAACTAGATGACATTGAAGGCTATCCAGTCTATATGGTTCTTGAAAGTCCAGAGTTCGGGGTCATCTAATTCGCTCAACTCCAAGTTAAGAAGTTCATGAGATTTAGCGAGCTGAATAAATATTCTGATGGCATGATAAAATTAGTGAGAAGGGCACTTAACTTAAAAAGGGTGATGAACGATAAAGCTGCTGAATCAGAACGGATGAACTCCAAGGAAAGATATTTGCTGGTCAATGCAATAAATTTGCTCGAGGAAAAGATCCAATATAGGAATGCTTTGAGAAGACTAGAGAAAATTCTTGGACTGTGGAAGACGAAATTCACAAGAGTCCAAACTTGAATCCAAAGGGGGAGAATGTTGGGTTTGAGTTAGAGCGTTAAAGTTGTATTCAAGTTTCTCCTTAGAATAGCTTTATTTTGTAATAGTGTAGTTTTACTATTTCCTAGTATAAATAGTATTTTCCTTGTAATTGTCATTATGAAGTGATTAGCAAATTGTAATCAAGATTTTCAGCTGTAATTCTCTCTCTCTCAATCTAATGAAGATATTCTTTCTATTATTCTATTCATCTTAATTCTTGAGGATCATATAATATGTTTGTATGATTTTGGGACTTCACAGGATATATTTCCATAAAAGAGTCAGTGACAAGAGAAACATTAAAACTATCTTTTAAAAAATTTGAATCACTGAAAGAAGAAAGGTTCAGTGATCATTTTGTTTTTAAGAAAAAATAAGTATACTTATTTAAAATGTTCAGCGAATAGAAGGAATCACTGAAACCATCTTTTAAAATGTTTTGATCACTGAAGAAGAAAGGCTTCAGTGATAGTGTTAAGTTTTAAAGAAGAAAAATGAGTATACAGACCTTAGAGAGAAGAGATATATTTACTCATGAGTTCAGTGATAGAATGAAAACACTGAATCATTTCACTTACTGATTGATGCGCATAGCTGAAGGAAATTAATCCTCAACATTTAGCATTCCAAGTTCACTGATCAAGATGTTAAATCTTGTCTCATCAAGAGGCTTTGTGAAAAAGTCAGCGAGTTGGTAATCAGTGGGAACAAAATGAAGTTCAATATTACCGTTCATAACATGATCTCTGATAAAATGATATCGGATCTCAATATGTTTGGTCATGGAGTGAAGAACAGGGTTGTTTGCAATAGCAATAGCACTAGTGCTATCACAATAGATAGGAATCATTGAAAACTGAATATCGTAGTCGTTGAGCTGGTTTTTCTTCCAAAGGACTTGGGCATACAAACTTCCAGTGGCAATGTATTCAATCTCAGCGGTTGATGTGGACACTGAGTTTTGCTTTTTACTTGTCCAGCTCACCAACTTTCCACCTAGAAACTGACAGCCCCAGTGGTGCTTTTTCCTATCAATTTTGCAACATGCAAAATCACTATCCGAGTAACCTATTAGGTCAAAATCTGAACCCTTAGGAGACCAGAGACCCAAATTAGAAGTTCCCTTCAGGTATCTGAAAATGCGTTTTACAGCAATCAGATGGGATTCCTTAGGTTTAGATTAATATCGTGCACATAAGCAAGTAGAACACATGATATCTGGTCGATTAGCTGTAAGATACAGCAGGGAGCCGATCATTCCTCTATAAATAGTTACGGTTATAGGCTTTCCATTGAGAACCTTGTTGAGAGAAAAAGAAGATGAGCCATAGAAGTTTTCATAGATGAGTTGTTAGAGAGATCAAACTTTTTCAGCATATCACAGACATACTTACTATGACTGATAAATATAACTTTATCTGATTGCTTGATCTAAAGACCTAAAAAGAAGGTTAGTTCACCCATCATACTCATATGGTATTCTTTCTTCATGCGATCAGTGAACCGAAAACATAAAAAGGAATTAGTGGAACAAAAAATAATACCATCGACATATATTTATACTAGAATGATATGACCTTTAACTTTCCTAAAAAATAAGGTCTGGTCAAATCTTTCCACGGCCGAATTTCTCAGAGATGAGAAATGAGGAGAGAGTATCATTCCAGGCACGGGGAGCCTGTTTTAACTCGTAAAGAGCTTTATCCAAACGATAGATATGGTTTGGATACATAGGGTCAAGAAACCCTGGAGGTTGTTCAACATAAACTTCCTCTTGGAGTTTTTCATTTAGGAAAATGCTCTTTACGTCTATTTGGTAGTTTTTAAAGTCTCTATGGGCACCAAAGGCTAGAAAGAGTCGAATAGCTTCGAGTCTAGCTATTGGTGCGAAGGTTTCATCATAATCGATCCCTTCTTCTTGTCTATAACCCTAAGCAACAAGTCAAGCCTTGTTCCGGGTTACCACACCTTCTTCATCTAACTTGTTGTGATAGACCCATTTGGTGCCTATCACAGTTTTGTAAGATGGACGTAGGACAAGGTACCAGACTTTGTTCTTATCCAACTCAATGAGCTCCTGTTGCATGACAATGACCCAGCTAGGGTCTAAGATAGAATCATTGATTTTCTTGGGTTCAACTAAAGAAAGGAAGTTGACAAAGAGACATATATTACCTAGACCACGACGAGTCAGAATACCTGCACTTGGATCACCAAGAAGTTGATGAATTTGATGATTTTTTGTCCATCGCTGAGCTGGTAGAGGATTATCAACTGAGCATTGATGTTCAGGAACAGAAAATGAGGCTTTATCTGCAGATTCTTCAACAATAGGGACAATTGCTAAAGGAGCCTCAGATTTAGCGACTGATAAAGGTTCAGAAGCTGAGAGCATTTCATTCACTAATTGATCAGTATTTGAAGTAGAAGGAGGAACGCAACTAATGGGCACTGTAACTATCTCTGAAGAAGACATGTTTTGGTGATTAGCTGCAACAGGAATGATAAGTGGATCATCTTCAGCTTCTGGAGCTTCAGCGTTTGGTGGATTGCTGAAGGAAGCTTCAGGTTGTCCAACATGAGAGAACATCCAGTTTTCTAATTCTTCATCATCATTAATGATGGGTTTAGAATTAGCTGATTAAAATTTGTCAAAGGAAACATGAATAGTTTTTCCTATTGTTTGTCGGCGTTTGTTGAATACTCTAAAGGCTTTGGGTACCAAAGAATAACCAACAAAGATTCCTTCATCAGCTTTGGATTGAACTTTCCCAGTTGATCACGGTTGTTGAGAATATAACATGTGCCACCAAAGATATGTAGAAAGCTAAGAGAGGGCTTTCTTTTTTGGAAGAGTTCGTAAGCTGTATTCTTGAACCTCTTAACGATCAACGACCGGTTTTGAGTGAAACAAACGGTGTTGACAGCTTCAACTCAGAAATCAATGGGAAGATGAGATTCGCTGAGCATTGATCAAGCGGCCTCAATGATTGTTCGATTTCTCCTTTCAGCGACCCCATTCTGCTGAGGAGTTCTCGCAGAAGAGAAGTTGTGAGAAATTCCCTTATTCTCAAAGAAGTTAACGATAGTACTATTTTTTAATTCAGTTCCATGGTCACTTCTGATAGATTGTACTTTAATATTATTAATTACTTCTATCTTGTCGATGAACGATATTATTTCTTCAGGTGCTTCACTTTTGGATTTGAGAAAGAAGACCCAAGTGTACCTGGAGTACTCATCAACAATGACGAGTGTATACTTCTTTCCATCAGTAGATTGCATGTTCACTAGACCAAAGAGATCCATGTGCAATAGTTGAAGTGGAGATGTCACTGAAGAGATTTGCTTGGACTTGAAGCTAGCTCTCGCTTGTTTTCCTTTCTCACATGCTGAGCAAAGAGATTCATTTGCAAAGGTGTATTGAGGAAGACCAGTAACGGGATCATTTCTAGACAAATCACTGAGTGTCTTGAAGTTAAGGTGAGAAAGTCGTTTGTGCCACAACCAGTTGATATCTGACAAAGCTTTAGAAAGAAAACAACTATTCTCAATAAAAGAAGAATCAATGTTGATGATGTAAACATTCTCTAGACGGGGACCGGTTAGAGCAACCTTATCATCCTTGTCACAGACGTAACATGAATTCTTAGAGAACTTCACTGTAAAATCTTTATCACATAGTTGACTGATGTTGAATAGGTTGTGCTTCAGTCCTTCAACATATGCAACACACCTGAAAGTGGTTGCACCGTTGGTTAATAGACCAGAACCTTTGGTATATTCTTTTCTGTTTCCTTCAAAGGTTACGGAAGGGACTCTTTCATCCTTGTAGTCGATAAGCAGGGATTTGTCTCCAGTCATATGTCTTGAGCATCCACTATCGAGATACCAAATGCCTTTGACCTCCTGCACAAGGGAACAATTTAAAAATTCTTTGGTACCCATTCTATTTGGGTCCAACAATGTTAGAGGCAACATCTATTGAAACTGAAGAACCAGTGTCAGTAGAAGGCTTCACTGAACCTGAAGAAGAGGCTTCAGTGGGATTAGGAACAACCTATGACGCTAAAGAGATAGAGTTAGTGGGTGTCTTCATTGAGCCTGACAAAGAGGCTTCAGTGTTAGGAGGAACAACAACACTTGACACTGAAGACTTAGTGTCATTTGTTGTCTTCACTGAGCCTGAAGAGGAGGCTTTAGTGGATTTGTTCACCTTAGTTGTTTTAACAACCCTAGTTGTAGATTTCTCCTTGGTAGATTTTTCACCCTTGGCTACTTTCTTGCCCTTAGCTATTGGACCAGCCTTGGCGGCAGAAGGACACTTACTGGCAATATGTGTAGTTTCACCACAATGCATACACTTCCTATAGCTGAAGGTAACTTTAGGGCCAGGAAGTACCAGAGTAGAAGAGGGACAAGCTCCAAGGATTCCCTTCTCATTTGTTTTAGGAAGAACTTTTGAGGATTTGGAGTCCTTAGGTGAAA